GGAACGATAACGAGACGGACAGTAGTACAACGGTAAGAAATATTTATGGCTCACACCAGTTCACCCGAATTTGTTTGAGAACATTTACCAGGTAGTTGTACTCATGAAATAATGGTCATTTTCGTTCATGAGTAAGGATGGTCCGTCTCCGGACCTGGTTTATTCTCCTTTCTAACATCTGGGGATTACCGGCACGCGACAACTTAAGTTGTAAATAAGTCTTGCTATTGTACTACTGTCGGTCTCGTTATTGCCAATAAAATTTTATAGGGTAGAATGAAATTTCCAAAACTATACTTAGCTTGATTTAAAGACTATTATTTAAATCAAAACCTAACAAAAACGTGACAAAAACTGAAAACATTACACAGAGAATCCTATTTGTACTTAAAATTGCTTTAAAATTATTACAATATCTGTTGAAAAACGTAAAAAACAATTAACCGTCGAGTCTGTAGTATCATAAAAATAGGGCAGACAACTTTTGTTTTTTTTTTAAGGAGATAAATACAATAAATCGTATATCTATATAATTACGGTTGTTTGTTTATTGAAAAATATTTATCAATCCCGAATTTACTAAAAAAATTGTGATGTGTGGTTTATCAAGCTAATAAAGATCTTCCACAGAAGGTTCTACTTTAGGAACGAACATTCTCTTCATTTATAGTGAAATTAGAAGTGGGATGATCAATTTTATGATTTCTCTCAATTCATTATTTGTATATTTTGCAACGTGGGTTATTTTGATTTGTTATTTTTAGAATTTCTTTGGAACTTTTCCTGATTCGTCATACCAACATATCGAGTGTTCCAAATATGAGGGATAAGCTCGATGCTTCGCTGTTAAGAAGGCTCTGAAAAACTCGAAAAAATAGTTAAAAAATCAAAAATCACTGCACCAGGCTTTCGAAAATATTAAACTGCCTGTCTAATAGACAGTTATTTAATTAATAGTTATTAATAATTTAAGAATAATTTGCTATAATACGATCCACAATGTCATTTCTTATTATTGACAGATGTCATTTTTGACCATTTTTATCGGAATTTTCCAAGTTTAATTTCATAATAATAATAATAAAAATACCTACATTTGTTCAACAGATACAGAGTCATATATAAAAAGTCATGGACTGACATAGATTAAAATGTCAAAACATATGTCACTTATTCGTATTATCTTAAACTTAAACACCATTGTGGTGTCATTTTGACACGAAATATCCGTTTTACGCTACGCAAAAATTTTAATTTGTAAAACCAAGATAAATGGAAGCATAAACTATTTCGTGTTTCCAACTGTACCATCGAGCTTATCCGTCATTTTTGGAACACCCTGTATGTCTTTATGTGTCTTACTTTCCAAAACATTTCTGAAACATAAACACTGAATCACCATCACCTCCCAACGCGTTATATCATCTCTGTTCTTACTGAACCACTGTAACTCTCACTCCAGTGTTGGCAGGAACCACTTATTAAAGAAAAGTTAGATGAAGATGTATGGAGCTTTTTATTTTTGGTTACACTCTATCGATTATGGAACTCTCCATCCTTTAAAGAATGTAGGTACTTGTACTAGCTGAGTACCTAACTCTCCACACTATTTTAGCTTTGGATTTTTTTTTCCGATGAAAAACAAGTCTGTCTTCAAGTTCCTCATTAGAAAAGATTGTAGCAGCTGTATCTGTCAAATTCAACACATTCTTTTAATGAAGCGAGGTTTTGGACAGTTGTCTACAATGTGGAAATGTAGAAATAAGAAAATTTGAAACAGTTCGTTGTATAGTTAACATTTATTGCTCTAGAAAACAATCTTGTCCTATTTCATTAACAAACTTTAACAACCCAGCATCGACTGCAAACCTGTATGGTTGGTTTTAGAGCTTCTCAGATGTAGGTATTCTCTGCTCTAGTGTTTGACGTCGATGCTAAGCAATACTTACCGATCTTACTTAGGATAGACAGAGATAGGATAGACATTATTGTTCTTATATTCTGTTATGAGGATCAATTTACCTTGTTGTAACGCTATTGTTCGACGAGGGTAAAAGTAACAAAAAATAATACATAAGAAAATGGAAAAAATTGGAACCGCAGAAGTTCTACAAAACTAGATCATCTTATTGGCCAGAACTTACTTAATCTCGACCTCTTCAACCGTGGGTGTAGACGTTATTGTTCCTCTCCATTTGTTCCTATCCTTTGCTTCTGATTTCGCTTCAGTCTAGTTCATCCCTATCCGCCTTACTATGTCATTCATTTCATTATTCCACGTCCTTTTCGGTCTTCCTGTTATTCTCTTTTCTCTTGTCATCACTTGACTTTCTCTATCTTGTTTTCGACCATTTACACTACATGACCGAACCATTTTAGTTGATTTCTCTTCATTTTGCACTTTTAGATCTTTTCTTACTTTTGCACTTCTCATTTTATTCATTCTGGTTACCTCCGCATTTTTTTAAGCTCGTTTTTCTTATTAAAAACTGGTATGGTGTTCTGTATGTCGTTGTAGTTCTGTTTATTCTGTTCATCACTTCCTCTCAGAATCATCCTTTTGCCTCTTTTATTATTGTATTTCTATTCTATCCTATGTTTTAATTATCTTCTTTTCTTTGCAAATCTTATAAAATCATCCGCCTAATGTAATTCACTCATATCTACCGGTTTTAGTTTTCCGTATCGTGGGTGGGTCCTCTTCCTTTCTTTTATTTCCTGTGCTATGTTGTCCATTATCACCATAAATAAATGATAAAAAAAAATAATTGATTATTAAATTTCTCATTGTTTTCCCCTTTATACTTACTATATTGTTTGTTGTTTCGTATAGGGTACTTATTATTTTTATTAGTTTCCCATTTATGCCCTTGTTCCGTAGACCTCCCAAATTTTACTTCCTGATAATGTTCTCTAAATCAATCGTACTTCCTAGAAATAAGTTATAAAATTCTAAAAGTGCTTCAGGACATAGAGTGAATGCTAAGATGTCAGCCGCCAAAAAATATTTAGCTGCATAGATAAAACAATAAAAAAAATGTATGCAAAACAATAAATAGTGCAATTTGCAAATGGATTAGTTTTTGTGCTTAAAACGGGATATATTACCTTTAAAACGAACAAACATCCACATTTTCAGAAAATAATTTTATTAGAAAGGGAAATCATCAAAATATCTGTGCGGTAGTAACTTATGTCATCATAATTATGGAAATATGTGCGACCTAAGGGTAGAAATTTTAGAAAATCCGTTCACAGATTGTTTCCACGTATAGCTTAGATCACAATTATAATGGGATTCGCTTGAGTGTATAAATGGTTGCCTACACGTATTTATTTAGTAAAATCATTGTTTATACGGGGAGAGCAAGGTATTTAGAGGTATGTGTTTATTTTGGAATCTAGCAATAACTGATAGATGTATGTTGTGTTGCATTGAAAATTGGTCTGGGTCCCGTTATTATAATACTCACCCTGTATATATTTAAAGTTTAAACAATGGTAATTTTTAAAATTACTTGCTGAAACACATCACCATTCAAAGGTAGTCCCTTAAAAAATATTTACAAAAGTATAAGCAAATTCATACAACATTCATTGTAATTTTAGTTACAAATGAAATGCGGTAATAGACATGAATTAAAAAAAGTCATTTCATTGTCTAATATTAGAGAAGCTATAACTTCACATTCTAATTTTTTAATAAATAACAATAATATATTTGTACTTTTCGCTCTTAAAACACTCGCAGGAGTGGTATAGTCAATAAACAGAATTCCAGATCTTTCTATTTTATCTTTAATAAACGAATTAGACATTAAAAAATAGATTCATTTTATGAACATTTTTGCTTAATTTGAAATTACATGCAAGTATTAGATAAGTATGGTGAAATAATCATGAACAAGAAGCAAAAGAGAACTACTTGATTATTTCCTAATTCAACACGGAGTTGGTGCGCTTATTTTTAGTCACTTTGTTGGACAACATTCAGTGGTGGGTGTTAACGGGTAGCAATGGTCAATTTATAATTCGTGTTTACAAAGTCGTACATTCACACTGTATGTCGGGAACCGTTAGAGACACAAAGGACGCAAAATAGTACAAGAGACATGTTTAGATTGGTTTGGACAACAGTAGGAATGAACAAACTTTTGTTGGTGTTAATATGACATATTTTAAAGGTTTTGTTTTTGTTTTTGTTTTAGTCATACGTGAAACAAAAATGCTTGTCCAAATTTATTAGACTAGGACTGGGTTTACAGAAGCGCCATTAAATATTTGATTGCGACTAAATTTTTAACACGGCGTGAAAGTATCACGTGACGGGCTCTAGCCAATCAGACGTATCTAAACGCCTCGTTAAATGCGTGATTAACTTAATTTCAGTTAAAAAATTGTATAAACGGGTCCGACATCTTCTGAATGTTTCATCTCTTTCTCAGGTCCAACTTATCAATTATTGATATTTTCCTAGGTTTCATGGCTTTTGCCTTATGATTTCGCGTTACCCGCAGCAATCGATAATGCTGACCCTAATTACACAGTATCACAGGATAGTTGAATAAAATTACATACTTAATTTTCCACTTCATTAAAATGTGAAAACTTTTAAATAAGACAACGTAAAACCCAACATTTTTTTCGGCTAATTTAGATACTGAACCTGTCGATAACATTGAAGTTCAAAGAAATTTTGAATATATTTTCATTATTATCATTAAACTGTAATATTTCTGACAATTTTTTTTAACTGAATAAAACCAGCATCACTTGTATTTCTACGTGGTAGGTAACAGTTTATCCACAATCAATACCGGCTTTACTCTTAAATCATTTGGCCCCCGGTCGGTGTAAATAAATATTCAAACAGTTGTCTGTCATCAACAATGATTGATGAGCTTTTGTGAAATTAAATTTAAACAGCGACTATGCCCACGTAGGAGGGGAAGCTGAAACAGTTTTAACGTCCGCAGGAAATTTGAAATTCTAGCACGAGATTCCTCGGGTTGTAACACTTTATTCATAAATATCGCGAACACAGAAAATTATTTATTTAAAAGCATTTCTTTGAGCAGCCGAAATAATCGACACAAAGGCAATCCGATAACATTATTGCCATCGCCTTCGATCCTCTCCACGAAAGTGCCTGCGATGCCCTGAATGCCATACCCACCTGCTTTACCCCTGAAAATCAATACGTTATGTACCACACAATACATTCTCGTACGCTTGGGCGTATAAATATTTAACAGCGACAAGGAATGCCGTTAAATTTGCAAGAGATGTGATCAAATCTAAGTTTAATCGGGCTTACATTGGTTCTCCTGTTTCCACGTATGCCAACACGTCTTCGGGTGTGAGTTTTGACATGTAAACGGTGGTGACTTCGGTAAATTTGCGAATATCGTCGTGGTATCTGACCACCACTCCACTATATACTGCATTTGGTATGCCACTTTGGGTTAAGCTGTAACGCTACGTATAATTACTATATCACACTAAAGTCTAAATTAATTACTCTGTAATTGTTTTAATAGCTTGTTCTTTGGTTTTAGGTTTTCCGTACATTCTTCCATTGAAAGCTACCATTGTGTCAGTTCCAATAACAATATCAGGCTTAACAGGATCATTTTTCAACCTTTCCCATACATCATTGACTTTTCCTAAAGCAGTTTTTTCTACAAAATCCGAAAACGTGTGTTCTTTCGGATCTAAATTTTCCTCAAAGTTTGAAGGAACGATTTCAAATTTCATTTTCTGTAAAAGAAAGAGTCGCAATTTTTCACCGTTACAGTGCAACAAGCGCCATCTCTCACCGTACTCCTTAACAAAATAGCACGTTGTTCAGAACCACTGGCTAAAATAACCCGTAAATCGTTAAGCTTGCTAAATAACGGTTCCAGCATTTTTAGCAATTGTTGGCGATTGTTTCGAATACTTTTATACCGGTTTCACTACGGCAACGTCCACTGTATTGACTTCACTGTGAGTTTTTAGTAACGATTTTCTGAGATCTTGCGTCACTTTAGTTTAGATTTTGTAAGTTATGTTCATTGATGGCTGAATGGTAACGAAGTGTTCTACACAGGACTCAGGGTCAATACAGATAACTGTCTAGGTCACAATTTTTTTTCTCTGTCGTTTCTATTACGTTGTTTCATACTTTTGTTGATGTTTATCCTAACTCATTTTCAATGTACCAAACTACCAAAGCTAGAGGCTTTGAAAGGAGCACAATGTGTGAATTGAATTCAAATTCAAATTTTTGAAGGTTTATTATAAAGGAAAAGATATGTTTTTTTACATTTATAACAATTAGTTAATTGTCGTAGGATAAATATATTTCGTTTCGCAGATTTTAATACACCACACAAAATTCCCGCAAATTTAAAAGATAAATTAAGAATGCAATAAAACAAAAAGTACCACGTAAAATTGAGAATAAAATTTGAGAAAGTCACGCAGACGTGTCTACCTACACTTTCGTCTCGTAAAAATTATAATTTCGTATATATAGTAATTGAACATAATTTAATTAACCTTATTCTCTAGTGTCAAAATTTCTTGTTTTGTTTGCAGGTTGTAAGTAATTGGAGAAGTATATTTTGGAATGTAGTTGAAATTTTTTTCTTGACGTTGGCAAAGTCGTAAATTTCGAATTATTTGTGTGTTTTAAAAACGTACAAATTACGACATATTTTCACATTTCTTTTGCAATTACGTAAGCTGATGGCGTCATCATTTCGAAACAAGGCATGCAAAAGGTTTCAAATTATTTCCTGAACCACAACCTCTGTGAAAATCTGTTTAAATGTCAATTTTTGCCGCATATTTTATTTTTTGCCTTTGGTTCTGTTTGTGTGATGGATTTTAGTAATACAATGTCCTTTTTTATCCTCTTTTTAAAACAAATAGCAAAAATTAAGGTTACAACTAAGAAAATATATTATGGCGTCGTAAGTTTTATGGTGGCAATAAAAAATGTTTAAATTTATTCGATCACAATTAACTTTATGAAGGCAATCATCATAATTTTAAAATTAGGTTGCACTTTAAGAAAAATGACAGTTATCTCATAATTTATTACTATGTTATGTAGCTTCGTTCACGAAGATAGAATTTTTAAATTGAGAAATCCTGAATTTTTGTTTCAGAATCTTCCATTTTCTATTTTTTGCTAGTCTATTCAAACCTTACTCACAAGATGATGAACTCATGAAAATTATTTAATAATTTTTTGAAATTACATCATGACTTTTTAGTACGGATAAATATGTAATTTTGGAATGTATAGTGTAAAACAAAATATTATTTTGTTGTATAACTAAACATAAAGTTGGGGGGGGGGGGGTTATTAAACCACAATGTTTTAAGTTGACATTATCAATTTTTTGGAGGATATCCATTATTTATCTTCGTAATATATTAGACACTTAAGAGGATTCTGTTCCAATACAATTTTCTACAGTCATTTGACTTGTTTGAACTTATTTTATTGCTATTTACTCCATTTATTTTCGCTACAGTCTATATAAAAAATTTGTGAGGGTACTAGTTTCAAAGTGACAACTATGTTAACTATAGTTTGTGGAATGTTTTATCACTAAATTAAAAAAAAAATGGTTTAGACATTGCAAAACCAGTAGCGTATCGGAAATTTAGGCCAATGGTCCCTAATTTATTACTTACTATTTATATCTATCATTTTGATGAGTATATACATTTTTATTAATATAAAATGAAAAAAGGTCCCTAATGGTTGAGCTCTCGTCGAACAAATGATGTTTTTGTTGCTCCTTTGCCTTTCATTTTGTAAATTCTATACAAATTTCAAATGTTGAGAGTGAGACACTGATTTCGCTGCGGGTGATCATGATTGAAAGTTTTATTTAGAATTTAGTAAGCTATTATAAGTATATCACGAATTTATAAATGCTTTGTTGTAAACAGAACAGGACTCATTAGACAAAGGAAACTAGTGTAGTTAAAAAACTAGTTTATTATTGTGCTTAGGTTAATAAATCTTAAATCTTTATAATACAATGGTCTTATTAAAATGTATTTTGCAACAAACTGTTGCTTTAGGATATCATTTATGTTTTTCTACGGTTACGTGTCTGTAGTGCAATACTACTAAAAACTGCAGCAAATTAAATTAGAAAATAATTATAATCTTATGAACCCGTTATTATTATTTAATATTTAACAAATGCACTATTTTTAATAATCTGGCTATGTTAGTATCTAATCAACGTTACGTCAGTCACGATAAATAGTAAACATTTCGTAGGAAATATTATAATTAATCGTTGGTGTGATTGCTAGAACTCTTCACTCATAACAATATAGTTGGAATTATAGCAAAATTTAATAATGCATCACTCAATACACTTAACGACTATAATTATAAAATTAATTAACAATAAAAATCATTTTTGTTCAATTTCTCTGCCAGATTTAAAAATTGTGGATCGTGACGTAGTACCCACGCGAAGCGATAAACTTATTTTACGACACGGGCATACAAATTTTTTGCACAGCCAATCTTACATAAACCTTGCCTGTTGGCTATTTTAAATCTTTTAGTCGTCATTAAAAGCAAATGGGTTGCTAAATTTAATACTTCAATACTACATACTTAGAGGTTTACGTTATGAAATGTTGTACACACAAAAACACCTTAATATCGACGTAATTCGCATCTGCATTTGACGTTTCGAATAACAAAAATAGTGAAGAATGTTAAATTATTTTAGTGTCAAAGTAACACTGCACCGATTTTGAAACGCGACGTACGTTCAGCGATCTACAGCAAACTCTTAACGTGGACGCAAAGAGAAAAATCGTTACTGGAATCTCTACATTTTTCTTAAACTTGAAAGTGGAGTTTTTTTCATTCATACAACCTTTGAACATGTGTACGACGTCGAGTATAATACACTGACGTAATTAATTGTACCTATGCATGGCAAAACTTTTGCTGTGTCAGAGCAATAATAATTGCTTCAATAACTTGAACCGACGTTGTTTTGACGTCATATCAACGTTGTTTCGGGCAACTCGCTACGTACACTGAACAAACAGCTCCATTATGTATTACTTTTAGTTATCGATTGTAATACGATTATCGCAAGGATGACTGAAAATCATAGAGGCACTGTAATATCAAACTGAATAGGTAATGTAAATTCGAGAATAATCATTGGGCAGACTATAGTCAGGATCACGAAGCAATGCGTACACGTCACGGACTCTGTATGACGTCATGCGTCTACTACGTTTATCATACAAATGAATCGGTTTGAAAACTGTCAACAAACATGTCGGCTTGTTATTGTTTTGGTTTGTTCTATTTATGATTATAGCATGAGAAGACCGTTAGTGTGAAGCAACAGTTTAGAAATAAGCTACACTTGCAGTGTTTCAGCATACAAGGGCATGCTGCAGGCTGCATAGACGCTATGAATTACAAACTCAGGCACAGGAAAGATCACGACTGTAACCCCTTTCACGTGTTCCTAGTCACTGAAGCCTGCCACTCACGTTCCAACGCCGCGGTACAATTGTGTAGGATATGACAAAATTGAAGTGTTTTCGAACATCTGTGTATGCGATCAAGCAAATCGGTTGGATGTGGACGGTTGGTGAACAAGTCTGTCTGGAGCAGTACAATCGTGTTGTATTGGTTGGAAACTTAATCGTGTGGGGACAGTGTATGTTATACAAACCGTGAAAGCAGGTATAAAAGTCCATTTTCTTCGGACATGTTGCCACCACGATCGCAAATTTTTAACTGCAAGGTCGTAACGTGTGTGTACTGCTGCTTTTCAGCAGAATTGTACAGCAGTTGTATCCAATACAATCGTACCCCGGTGTTGGAACGTGAATGACTGGCTTTAAGAACGTTCATTTTTGCATTGACTGCTGGTAAAAACTGCTGACAATTGGGTGTTAAACACATACTTGGAGGGTGGTACAAGGCTTCATACTGTACTTAAAGCTACCAACGAGAATGTTAACATACGTCTCAAACAGACAGCATTGAACAGTTATGACAGGCTTCAAGTTAGAGAAATATGCTTACCGTCTTCAATGCCACAATAGGCACGTCACATCTACAGAATAAGTTACTTTATTGACATGGAATAGATACAAAAGTAAAGTATAAACAATAATAAGTATGCATGTTGCACAACGTCGTCGTCTGACCAGTGATTTGTATATTTGGCCAGTGAAGTGATAGTGTGATTATAAAAGACATCAGCAGAACATGCCGCTAGTACAATCAATTAGGATGGTAATGGAAAATAACCTACATGTTACAGTGGCTGAATGCCCTCTGCAGTATTAGAATCTTCACTGTCATAATCACTAAAACTATAATGTGAATCTTCGTTAATGTCGATTATAAACGGCGCAATCTCTTCACGGTCAAATACTAATTCCCGTTCCCACCACTCCCGTATTATTTTATTCATATGGTCAACAGTATTTTTCCACATTGTGGGCGTGACATGTGCTAACGCTTCTTTCCACATTTCCACGGAATTTTTTGACCATAACCATCACGCCCAATGTGTTTGGAATAAAAATTTGTAGTAATTCCCCAAATATTTTCTATAGGGTTAAACACACAATGATATGGCGGCAATCGCAATACTCTATGGCCATTCTGTTGGCCCAATTCACGGCAACATACGTTTTTGGAGGTTTATTTCTGAAAAACATGATATTTTAAATGAAACGATAGAGAATAGTATATGCATTACTGTGCAACCAAATGAAGAAGTTCCGTTTTTAACAGCTGTGAATCTGAACTTATGTCATGTTGTTAAAGCCATTCACGAATTTCTGCTTTTTTCCATGAACCACTGGGACATTTGTTTGCAAAGGTACTGTGGTAGCTTGCATTGTCTATAATAATCTGTGATGGTTCTTCAAGGTTCATGAGCAATTGAAACCACTTGAGAAAATTCTGTTGATTCATTTCGCCATGATAGTCTGGATTTTTGGTATTAGAAGAAAATACTAGCGCTGCTTCATCAATAAATCCATTGCTTGTACCTGCATGTAATACAATATACCTAAAATATAGTGAGAAGAATAAATAACCAACGTGAAACTGACACATTACTAAATTTTCCCTTCTATTTTGAACATCCTGATACTTATGACACTATCGTCTTGCAATGACCTAACTACCGAACCATTTTCAAATATCCATGTTTCATCAAGACATACACATGGCAAAGAATTTGGGTTCTGCTGATTGTGCATGTATTCACGTAAGAATTTGGTTCTTGCATGAACAACATGTTGTAATTCCATAAGACGCTTCCGTACACTGGTTGGCGAATAACGAAACCCAATTGAGAATGTAAAATTTTTCTTAACGAGCTCACAGAACCCTCAAATATATGTTTCTCCTTCAAGCAATCAATTAATGGCGATCGTGTAACATGTATTTCTGTAAAATAGTCGTTAGTATCTATAAGGCGTGCGCATCAAATTCATACTTTCTTCGACCATTCCATATAAGCATTCTCGAATAGCACACTGCTCCGAAGTGCTAATATCACACACTTGCTTTGTTCGGGGGTCTCTATTTCTTGGGAGAATGTACACCTTCTCCGGTTTTTATTTGTTGTACCACGGAGTTCACTGTTCGCACACATACACCCAGAGCAGCAGCAACCCTCTGTACAATGTGACTGCATTAGTAATTGTAATAAAATACACCTACTTACGTCTTGAACAGCTGTTAGTGGTAAAAGAGGTTCCCCGCTATCGCGTTCTTTAGCAAAATAGTCCACTAAATTATCGTCCATTTGCTTTACATCTTTGTGCAAGGGCTTCGGCATGGTGGAATGTTTACGTTCAAGCAAGCGACACGTACCACGGTACAGGACAGTTAACTTGGAGTTCTATAAAGAACTGTTATAGTTCTGAAAAGAACTGATACGATTACACGAGCAGAAAAGTAGAAAAACGCGAAAAATCAAACAATAACACAACATAACCAAAGTTGACACCAATGACACTTGTGAAATCGATAAAACTTTAGCATATGTTTCGCTATCAGTCGTACCAATATAATTTCCCCCAAATTGATCGATTTTGATCCGTATTGCCACGTATTGCGGCGCGTATTTTTGATTTAGTGTTGGTAACGGATCTACGTCATCCATGACGTGTACGCATTGCTTCGTGATCCTGAGTATATCTTTTTTTTTAAATTTGTGGATGGTAGGAAAATTATAAACACATGTATTACTAATTCAGTTTGAAGTGAATCGAGTATATCTATCTGGTCTGCTGTGCTGCATGTTATGGACAAATAATAGACTACGTCTTATTAAAAACGTTTGAACGGGGAGTTCAGTACAAGTTTATGAATATTTAATGTTTAGAATCGAGTAGTTACTTATTTTGTTGCACAGACCTTACGCTGGCAATAATTTCTTCTTCAATGCAAAAACTGCATCCTTAGACATCGAGGTAAACCTTTTACGTCAAATTTTAGTATGTTTACTTACCTTACTATACTCCACCTATTACCATTTACGAACAATTTTTGTCTTGTTCTTGACCTTTTTCATGTGTCGCAGAAAAAAAAAGAAAATTGCTGTTCGTTTCCACCTCAAACATCAAATTCATCCAGTTGTAATGAAAAAGCAATGTGTGCGTAATTAATATTTAAGTGAGAAGCTTTGTATTGTAATGTACTGAATTCTTCACCATTAATTATTGAGTGACCTAGTGACCATTCGGTGATAAAAACTGCAGCTCGTTGCAACTACGCTGCTTGTAAATCTGAAGAGAAAAATGATTTCACTTGAAAAATGTTTGTGTTAGTCACCATTCCATATTTCATAAATAACTATGAAGAGGTGTGTTTGTATGACTTTAATGATGACAAATGTATGATAGTTTAGTTGGAAAATGAAAAAGCAAAAGGGAATTTCTTTTATCTATTTGGGTGAAGGTAATATGGGCAACATTGTTGATTGACATTTTGGAAACCCGGCTTCTTAATCGAACGTCCTTGAGCTGGATAGGTAGCTACGTACTTTGATTTTTAAAAGAGAAAACAACCTGGATGCGAGGCTTATAAATTCTTAAAAATGTCACCGAACTAAAAATAAAACAAAGTAAGAAGTACCTATCGGATTTAATAAAATGATTTTCTTCACAACATTTATTAAAACACTTTTTTTCTCTAATATTCTTTCTACACTTTATATATAAATCTCATTTACATTTTATAATAATATAATAATAACAAATTAATAAATTGGAACGTAATAATCTGAATTATTTATGTTATTGATTAAGTTAAGCAGATGTCGTTTCTACCATCGACTTTTTAATAATCTCTCCGAAATTGTCGTCACAGTCCTCCGTATTGGTATTGGCATTGGCGTTCGCTTCGCACTTTTGGCCCCTCTCGGGATTACCGTTGGCGGGAACATCCGACGGATTCAAACTGTTGAAATTATTCGCGTCTTCGTACCCCGGATAATTGTAGCGACCGTTAAGTAAGTCGGAAAAAGATTCGATCTTGTTGTTGGCCCCGACAGGATTCAAGCTCGTGTATTGGTTCTCCTTGGCGTCGACGTTGGAGGAAAAATTGTCGTTAGCGAAGTGCTCGTAACCGTTCGCATTTTGCTGGAAATTTCCTTCCAGGGGCTTCGTTCCGAACTCCGGGCCGTAAATTCCCCCTCCGTACGGACCGAAGACGGGGGTGAAGTCGGCGAAGTTGGACTGGTACGGCTGCGTGTATTGATTGGGTGGCGGCGGGTAGGGGGCGGCACCGGCCGGGAAACCGACGTCGGAAAACCGAGGGTCGGGGAAGTGGAACCCCTGCGAGGAAGGCGGCTGGAAGGGCTGGTGGGGGTGCTGCTGCTTTCTTTCCGCCACGGGACCGTCCCGCGTCGCGTCGTCGCCGTACCAGTCCTCCCTGAAGGTGTACAGGTCCAGGGAGTCCTCCCGGGCCGGCAAATCCGCGAAGCCGGCGGGATTGTGCGGGGGCACCTGCCCCGGGCCCTCCCCGGGGGCTCCGTAGTGCAGGTTCGTGAAGCTGCCGTCGTGGACGCAGTTCTCCACGTCCCTGCCGTCCCTCAACAAGTTGCCGTTGCTGTACTTGCCCTTTCCGTCCGCCTGGGCGTCAGGCTTGTAGCCCGCGTTCAGCCTCTCGTTTTCCATCCAATTTGCGTTCTCCTTGTTCTTCTCCGCTTTCATCTCTTCTTCCTTCTCTTGCTTCTTCTCCAGCTCGAGGCGCATTAGGGTGTGGATAAAGTGTGTGCGGACCCTGACCGGATTGAACTCGATTCTGCCGCTAGAATTGCCACAGTTGTCTCTGGAACAGCCACACGGGAAGTTTAAACGGTCAACTTGGCACTTGATGCCAGCCTGACTGCACGAACAAGTGTCCGGATCACAGTACCCTTTACAGCCACAACCACAGAATTCTCGCGAAGTCCGTATATCGCGACACTCATCTTTCTCTAGAGAGTCTATTTTCCTAACACCGGACGCCCTCAGGAGCGCCCTCCTCTGCCTGATCGACACAGGCTGCAAAAAATAATAATTGTCCAAGTCCATTTCAGATTCAGAAGCGTCACTAGGTTCCTCCTCGCTATCACTCTCGTCACTAGAGGACCCAGCCCCGCTGCCCCCGGTCGAGTGTCTCTCGGACCTCAGCTGCTGCAATAGCTGTCGATGTATTCTACGTTGTTCGTTTGCGTGTTCCACTATAGAAAACTTCCTCACGTACGAATGTTGAGCGCCCATCCCCAGAGTCGACCCCCCTTGCGAAGGGATGCAGGTGAATCCCTGCGCCCTAGGAAAATAGAATACTGTAACGCTGTCGAACGAAATGCCGCGTTTTTTCTTGCATTTGGGCGGCCCGTCTTCTTCTTCTGGAAGTTTTCGCTTCAGACTACTTTTAAGGACCGCTTTCTTCGACTGGGCGTCGTCGAGGATGTTGCGGATCTCCTCGATGGTATTCGTGTTCTGCTTGGAGTCGTCCTCCTTCGCGGGGGTCTCCAGGCTGGTCGATGGCAGCGCGAAATCGTCCTGTTGCTCTTTCTGGCCATTAAACTCTTCGAAATTGGCGTCGGAGCTCTGCGTTCCGTTAATCCGGTCCAAGAACGAGGTCTCACTGTCGCTTTCGCCTAAATTGGCGGCCGTTGCCATAGCTTCGGGCCTCTCTTCGCTCAGTTCCGAACCTAGGCCAGAGTCTGATCCGTCGGATCGATCGTGGGGTTCTTCAACGGACTCCTCGGTCGGGGGCAGGCTCTCCGTGGCCGAATCCTCGCCATCGTTAACGTTCTCGTTAGCGGTGAGCAAATTCGGCGATTCGGTGTCTATTCGTTCGTCCAGTTCGCTACAGTCCTTACTATCTATTGCTTCGTTTGATTGTGGCTCCGTGAATACTACTTTAGAATCAACACGCTCACTGCTACGTTCGTTCAAGTCTTTGCTATTTGTACTTGAAGGCGATTCAACAAAAATTTTAACAGGTTCAACAATATTCGAATGCTCTTCGCTCAACAAATTAACTGGAGTAGTGTTCACTCCTTCTTCGTCACGTTTGGATAGGTTAGACCCCATTCTCTCCAAGTCTTCTTCGGCGGGCGCTTCAACGGTATCGGCTTCTTTCGGATCCGTTGCTTCCACAGCAGACATGGTTAACTGTAAACAATAAACAAGACATTACCGTCGGCTTCGACCAAATTTGATGGCAGTCACATACCGAGCATGGCGACCGCAACACTGACCTTAAACTTAACGAATTTATTGTTCTACGCGAGCAACGAAGGTAACAATTTTTTTAGGAATGACTTTTTGCAGAATTTGAGCGACTTGGCTGTTTACGTTTTACAAAATAGCAGTATTGTGCACTGATCGTGAAACGATTTACATTGTAATAGCGTTGATCCCGAACAAGGTCAAACTGTACTAATCGCGGAATGGGAATAATTGGGAAGTCGAGTGACATCAGGCGCTTTCTGCTAGAAACAAGACGCACAGTCTACGTTTCCTACTAAAAAAAGAACAGAATCCCACAAACAGGTTCCGGCTGCGAAAAATTTGACGCAAAAATTTGTTGCTGGTGGTATTCAAGGTTATAGAAAATACTGCGGTGGGTTAGAATTATGTCAGACGTTTACATCGACGGGTTGCTAGAATGCTACCTTTTCACAGTACCTGTTTTTATCGATAACACAACGTATCTGTTTATGTAAGTTTTATAAAAATAGAAACCTTTCACCGAATGAATGCATCAGAATTGGCTGGTAAATACAAAACCAAATAAGACTTTTTCTTTGACAAAAATTTGGCGTTTGCACATCAACTGACTTGGACACTGTCACATCGGGCTGACATTGGTTCTATTCAGTGGTGAGTAAAGTGAGTAATCACCATCCCAGATATAACACTGATCAACGTTCGTTTTAGAATGTTGCGTTACTCATCGGCGACAATTTACATATAATCAGGTTAATTCTACGTTGCGTTGAGAAAATTCTTAAAAATAGTCGTTGCATAGACGTCGTCTCATAACCTAATATTTCAAGTGAGTTATCGAGAACGAAGATAATTACTATTACATCAAGAAACGTTCAAGTACAGTTTTCCCTTCACCGCAAAGTCGCAGCTCCAGTTGAAAACTGCTCGTGCAAAAATCAAACTGACAAACTCGTTAGTTCGGAATACATACACAATCAAGGAAAACAACAATACTATTGTTGCTAGAATTGATAATAACGATTATGCAACGAACTGGTTGGTATGCAACACAACATACAAACGCCCGGTGATAGTCTACATGGGATCGTGTAGTTGGCATAAATATTGAAGAGAATCCTCCCGATCGAGTCGCAATAAAAAATTTAGGCATTTTGAGGTAGACCGGCGGAGTTATCACGTCCGAGAGAATCTGTGTCTGAAAATGAATGCCGTGACCTTGTTTGACAGACATTTTAGAAATTAATCTGTATCGCGCCTTCGTCTATTGTTTTTAAACACTGCGGCGAACTAAAAATAGCTTATTTTGCTGATTTGCCTTGTCGTTTTGATAACGCGCACTTCTTTTCGCGAAGATTTGCGAAAGTCCAAATGGTATTCGGCCGTCCGCATAAGATCACCTTGACTTCTTTTTGCACAGATTGTCTAAAATTGCGGCAACGCTGCAGTACCTCTCTATGTGGGTACAGTTATTAATCTATTTTGTAATAACCTGTGAGACAGTATAATTTCATGCATTGCTTGAGGAAGAAGGTCGCTAAACTCTTGTTGCTCTAGATGTATTTATCAGGAGCGAGAATAGAGAGAAAATGTTTACTCCAAATGACATGATGAATTGTTTGAAACGAGGTGTATTTCTCATTCCGACATGCCATCATCGTACGCAGGTGATGGGTTACGTTGGGGTAAGTCGTAGCCGGTTTTAATAAGGCGTTTTGTCGAGATGTTCTTGCTCGTTGTACCAAGCTTACCCACGCTGTCTTGCGCATAAACTTTATAAAATACTAATGGCTGCACCAGTCCCAATATGGCACAGGATGAAACGGAACAACCGAGAATTGGAAACGCCGTGTTTTCACCATAAAGGGCCGATTGTTACTGACTCCGAATTCGTAATTTCCACTCGCAATTATACACAAAGAAAAATTATCAGATCCCAACCGTTAATCAAATTTCCGTTATCACCTGGTTTAGATAAGATAATGGAATTTTATTGCTTGAGCAAACTGAAATAACCCGATACCCAGATTTAGGGCCAATATCGTCGGGGGAGAGGTGAACAAAGTGTCAAAGGGTCCTGTTAACACCAATTAAATTTTGCACGAGAAGATGTAAATCTGTAAGTTTAGATGGCGTTTATGCGCTGTTTACGAATAAATGGCCATTCTGTTTAACGCCATCAGATTAAAACGATCATGTTTGCCCAATACCTAGGGCAATTTTATGCAAATTTAGAGGTTTAAAGATCAATAATGCGTTAAAGGCACAATGCTGCGATAAAATGAACCGCAACAGTTCCCCCTCTTCCATTATTTTGGCAATGTGTCATTTTGGGGAATGGGGAAAACAGGCTCCAAGGACTCCCCTAAAATGTTTTCACAATAGCTCTTTAAATTTTAAACCAGAATTGTGCCAGGTATTTTGTTTTTTATCAAAATGTATTCTCGGACTGCCGCTGCTGCTCCACTTAACGTTTTCGAAGTGCAAAAAGCTGCCTTTAAAAATTCAACTTGTTTATGAGGTAATGACGAGGTGGAAAACTCGGCGTCGATTTTTCTCTCAGACTTCGAATCGATACTTTCAAACTATGCCGTGCTCATTGATTTTATATCAAAGTGTGATTTTGGCATCCGCGTTCAACCATTTCTATTTATAACATTTAGCGTTGATCGGAGCCATCACTGCAATGGGTCTATATTAAAACTAATAAATTACGGGAGCGGAAACCCGCAGAAACGCGGGCATTTTAAAATTCACTATTACTCCTCGCTGAACGTTCAATTTTAGAGAAAGTACGTTTAATCTGTAATTATTATTGAAACAGGGTACCTGCCCACTCTAGTTGTATTATACATGTAACAGACTTCCCACTGCACGGTATAACGCTTATAAATTCAATTCCGGAAGCGACTTGTTATTGATCCTCCTAATTTTTAATGATGACATCATTGTTTCCTCTAATATGATAAAACGCGCCTAAAATAATACAATGTTTTTGATTTTATCATTTATATACGCATCATTAAAACCAATTCTGTAATTTGTTATCTATTCAAATCCAATTATGCAACTGCAGCCCTCCGATTTTGCTTTTGCATTAACACGAAACACCACATTATCAGCTATAGATCGATAACGGAACTTAAGAAGCTCTCCAATAAACCTCAAGAACTCTTCAACACGGTGCTGCCGGAGTCTAATTAACATTGAATGCGATTTACGCTAAATCTTGAAATTCCATTACTCCGGGAATTTAAATGAGAGTACGTAGAAAAATTACTGTTTTACGCTCACTATCAGTGTAGTTATTTAATGTTTGTAGAGAGTCATTCATTAGCGGGTTCAAAAGGTTCACAAGTACACTGATTGGGCTATTATTGGGCTATCGATAAGTTAAGTTTATTTCGAACTGTCAGGTGTTCATTACTGCAAATAATTACCCGTTCGGTCATCTGAACAAGTGGAGCAAAACACACACCTGCAATTAAAAATTTTTATGTCGACGACGAATTGTTAAAAAAATGGGTGTATAAATGGTAAAGCTGAACCGTGAAAGTCCGGTATAAATTTAGAACGAAATTAGTGCAACAGTTCAGATAGGTGAAACATAAATTTCATTAAAAATATGACAATGTAATTAATAACGGTGCCTGCACAGGTGTTTATAAATTGTCTTGACAAAGTATTCCGGTAGTTTTTTACACCGATATGTTTTATTTTTTATTTGCTAACCAATTAGTTGAAAATGTTCAACTGCGAAGCTCCTATGCATTGTGCTTTTCCTCGTCACGAGATGCTTCCACGTCGGATTCAAATCGATTAATAAAAGAGACAAAAATAAATGGTTTGCTCCTAACTGTACCAGGTGTTTAGACTCGATTTAACACACAAAAGATCTGCTATTAGTTGAAATGTGCATACAGTCAAATTAAATTTAAAGTTGGATAGTGTGCGAAAATGAAGTGGGAAGTGACAGTCGTTGCCGCCCCCAAGCCGCCGCCTTTTAGTTTTAATCACAAATGGAAGCACTGGTGTTATTTTGAAGTATTGTATCATACACTTTTTTTTTCAAAATTGCAGTAAACAGTGCTAAATTTCTGCATTGTAATGTTACATATAAGAGTTAATGTATGTCACATGAGCACAGCATAACGGAATTAATGTTACATTTGAATATAACGTGGAGCTGCGACCAGTTCCTCATGGTTTAAAAAAACCTAAGAGTATGTAATACGGAACAATGATTGGGAAAACCTGAACACAAAGAATAGACTAGTTTTTATAAACTTGTATCAAGTCTATAACGTAATAACAACTGATTTTCATGTATTATTTTATTTATACAACAAAACTAGGTGTACAAAAATGAAAAAATGTCAAAGATGTTAAGATATACACTTCACTGACATTAAATAAGGTAATTTCAAATAAAGTTGATTTTCAGATGAGAAACCAGATAATGGTACCGTTTTCATAGCAAAAAGAGTCAACAGTGAAAGGCGCTGCATAAAATTAATTTTTATCAAACTGTGCATCTCTTCGTAATATTTTTTGTGAGTTCTTGAAACGAAAAATATTACTTAAATAAATTCGACAAGGCTACAAACATCGCCGCTAATTTTTTAAAGCAAAGGCGCCAAATGTTTTGAAAGACACACAGTCTGCGTCGGGTAGATGTAATAATGATTAAGACTAATTTGTATTAAAAAAAAAAAGAAAAACAAACATAAATCTGAGTTATAGTTACGGCGAATTGTTCTGGCATCATGGCCAATTGCGAGGGAGTTTCAATTTGAACACCTGTTAGATGTAGTATTATTAATTGAATTGGTCTTTTTGACGACTGAAAACTTTAATTTGAAGTGAAATAAGATAAAATTGTATAACAAAATAATGATTATTATTATTGCTACTAAATTTAGGATTTAAATAATAATTGGAATTTAAATTTCGATTTATCCTTTCACAAGGTGCTGTCACAATGGTGACTTTTATTAAATGTATGAAGGTAGTTATAAATTAAAACGATATACTTTTAACATTATACGATTACAGTCGCTACAACAACACTAAAATATATACATAAATTATAATTGTAAATGTGAAGTAAGTTGTTTTTACTGTAAACCGAATTTAAATATAACCAACAAAACTTTACAACTTTGAAAAGTTAAATACTTGTAACTTCACAGTGTGCATTTTTTGACAGTCCGAAAACGATTTGTGCTATTGTATAGTTCCGGTTTTGGAATAGTGAACAATTCAATGACCTTTGATCACTTGAGTTAATTGGTACACCATTTAAGTAAAAATTTTTTTGCAATGGCTAAATATTTAGATAAATTTTATAGATATTTACGCAAAGTGTATTTTCGTATTGACCTTCAGGTATTTTTGAATTTTAAAAACTTGTTTTTTTCTCAAATGAATCGGGAAAAAACGACTACTAGTCGGATTCAGTTTATTCTTAATACAATTGTAGAGTTTGTGTGTTGATTATTATTAGTGAAAAGTCACGTTATGAAAATAAACCAAGTGTAATAATCTGACGACACGGGCAACAATGTAAAGTTTAGTTGTGTGCACCTTGTAGCTCTGTGTACGAAATGTAATATCGCAATACCCACGTAAGGAAATGAAAAATGGGTCACATTTCAATAGCCAATTTAGAATGTTTTAATGCTTCTATTATATTATTTGCATTTTTAGTGCTGTGAGAAGATCCTTTTACGACTTTATGCATAACTGAAAAATATTGGTGATACTTACTTCGGATGGTGAACTCTCGGTACATTGGTTCACTTGACTTTTCTCATCCATAAAAGACAATAGAGTTGGCAGCAGTATCTGCAATAAACAAATAATGACTGTCATTTAGAAGTGCTATAAAAAGTTGTGAACTAAACCACTAGACGTATTATTATTACTCAATTAAATATGATAGCTCTAATGGCATTACTAGTTAGCTTAAAGTGGTTAAAATTTTCGTGTTTAATAAGCCCTTAAATTTATGTATGTGTGTAGTATGTGCTTCCAATAAATTTATGAGTTTATTTAAAGCTGAATTTACACGGACGCAAGTAGGTAGCGGTTGCAACGTTCCTTAACGATAGAACAATAATTACTGAAAAGTGAAAACAACAATAAAATGTAGTTAACCAATACTACTCCGTCATTATTTAACGATGTAAATATTTATTTGTAGAAAATAAAACAAACAGATTTTCAGGCGGCTTCAACTTCAAACCAGGTTAAACTATTTTTAAATTTGTAATGCAAATCCATGTCAAGTTTTTTTCTAAACAATTAAACGATCTACATATTATGTAATATTTTTAGTACCGCTGATATCGATCACAAACCAATTCAACTTAACAAATTCCTGGAACTACCTCTTCGATAAAGCGCTACTTTATTTGCCATTCAGATGTTTAGTTTACA